ATTTTTTATTTGAATCATGTAAACGCATAATCACGATTGCGTAATACTCGACACACTTCTGATAGATATAATAAATTTTTGTGCGAAAAATGTGGCATTTTTAACTATCAAAACCAAAAAAAACAGTTAAGATTCACCCTTTTTGGTTGTTGCTCAACCTCCTCTCTAGCCTTAAGCCTCAATCAGTTCCTTCTAAACTTATACTGTCATTCCCCAAATTCAGCATATTCGTTAATCTGTTGATTTGCATTGCCTCTCTAGCCTTATATTTTACAGGAGACAAAATAACCAATAAATTGACGTGAGGCCATTCCTTGTTATGAGTTCGCCTACTTCTAGCCTCTGTACCCAACAGTCTGTGTAGGCGATTTTGTGTTCATCTATAATTTGGCAAATCAAGCGACTGGTCTCCTTAGCACAAGGGCAGCAGCATGAAAACACTCTTTTTCAGCAACCTAATTTGGGCTAAAGGTATACATTACCGAAAAGTGGCAAAGATTCTTTGTAACCGATTTTGATTTTTTCATCTTCCTACTTTTCTAGAAATAAATCACGAGTGAAAAAAAACATAGGACAAGAAGTTTACGGCTTCCTATCCAGTTAAAAATAAATGTCATGTTTAGCTTTATTCCTTACTAAAAGTTATATTATTCAGCCAAAAACACTTTCTATTATATACTACATCCTATATATTCTACTTAGGCGGATACACCAAAGCCGGAGAGCAAATAAAGACTTGGGGATAGCCCAAATGGCATGCTAAGTCTCTTGAGACAACAACGCAGTGAGCCTGTTTCTACACACTATAAACACCTAGTGACCATGAATCTTGACCAGAAAGATGGGTGCACACCATCAGAGTTTATAAATGAAATCAAGTAGAAAGTGGCAGAATAAGGCAACAGATAAAATGGTCAATGAAAAAACGGGTAATACATGTTTGTCCCGAGGATTACACCAAAGTAGCGGAGGCTAAGCGCCAAGGGGGAATAGGGGTAGTCGGAAATGAGCAAAGGTTATCTGTGTTTAAAGGTGACAGGCAACCAGAATGCCCAGTACTTCGGAAGAAATGTTTCATGTTGGGACGAAAATAAACGAAGCTGTAAGTCTTGGGAGTCCAACTAACCATCCAACCTTGTATTGAAAGCGGAAACAAACATTCCCTTAAAGAGCCAGCCAGTAAGGCGAATCAACAACTTTTCCAAGAGTAAGAAATACCTTAGCCACAAGGTCAGTTAAAATAAAGATAACGGACCCAGCCTGACAACAGATAGCTAGCACAGCATTACGTATGAAGCGTAGATAAGACATGAAAGAAGGATAAGGCGCATGCGTGCGTGTGCAGGAGTGGGTTTGTGCGCCGTGAATGATTGGGTGAGTGGTGCTTGAGATTGATTATAAAGGGAAAGGGTAGGATATTCAATTGAAATGGTAGATAGGTAGATCTATAGTGGCAAAGCTAACTTGAGAGAGATAAATATTCAGATGTTATTTTTATATCTCCATCACACCATCACGTCAAAAGCTGAAATATAAAGGAGAAATAAGGCAATGTGTGTAATAGATGCAGACCGGTAGAATGAGCAAAGATGAACTACTTCAAAATATTAAAATAGGAGAAAAGAGCTATTGCCAAAAGGCGATGTAACGGTTATCATGACAGAATGAAAGAAAACCGCAAAATATGCCTTCAAAAGTTTCACAAAAATCAGATAGCAAAACAGCCTTGTAGCTAACCACATCACATAATTCGCAATAAGCACATAAGTGTCGAAGTATCAGAAAATCAGTAAAATGTTAGAAGTCGAACTGCCTTAAGAGGCCAAGAAAGCAGGGAGAAAAATTTGTCCAAATGGCAAATAAAAAACATCACAAAGAGTAACCACAGAAGAGTTAAGAGATGCTGTAGCAAAAAAGGGACAATAAAAGTGGGTCCGCTGGAGTCCCGTAGGCAAATGCAGCTAAGACGTGCACTGGCCGGTCCAACTAAGCCGCAAACAATTCCTGAGACAATGGCAGCAACACTTGCTGGCAGTCTTTACCTGAATTAATTTAAGATATCACTTTTCAGGATTGCGTGATGCATACGCAAAGGTTGCCTCGAAGAATAGTCCTGCTCATACCAGGCTAGAGACGATCTTAAAAAATGCTGTCAATTTGCGGTCATTCGCTGTTTTGCTGCTAATCGGCGACGATCGGGATGTCGCGACTTCACACGCGTGAGGAATTGAATTTGCGAGAACCTGCTACTGGAATTAAGTTTAGACGTCCACGAAGTCACGTCTGTCATCAAGTTGTCGACCCTGCTCTGCATAGTCTCAAGGCCATCGCTGGACAGAAGATGGTCCCTAGCCAAGGCTCGACTTTTCAGGACTGAGTGAAAGACATTGTTAGAGACTTCCGTCAATTCAGCTACGAACAGACTTGTCATCATACACTAAGGAACTGCCTGCAAAGCTGAACATGCAGACCGAATATGTCTAGCACAATCCAAGACGTTTCTCGGTAAATACTATTCGAGTCTATGAAAACATGGTGGAGGAGATGTCTTTTTCCAAGTTGCATTTCCTAGGCCTGTCCGTAAATTTGTAGATTATCCAATATTGGTGGCACTAAATATTCATTCGCTTGGTCCTGATAGGAACTTTCTCAACGAAAAAACCATATTCAATCATATACAACGGCTCTATTCAAGATCTACTTAATCACACTTAATATAAGTAATGTATATGCTTGTAATAGCTAATACAAATTAGCTTCATCGACAATGACAGTGCAAAATAAGATGTGGAAGAGGCCTAGCTAGCCTTGAAATTCACCTATGCCCTGTTACCCAATCGAACCCGTGTGTGGGGTGATGGTAAAATCTCGAATAAATAGGTCATGCCACCCAGATTCGATTCTAGTTTGGGGTACTGATGAGATCCAATCGAGATCGAAACTATAGTCCAGTTCTGGATGAGAATATACTTAACAGAATATACAATAAA